AGGAGCAAGGGCAATAATGTGAATGCACGTGAAGGGAAGATGACCGGAAAACCGGAGGAGAAAGTGTGGAGAAGGAGAGGGGACATCGGACATGGACCCGTTCCCCTCATCCTCCCATTTTCAAAATCTCAAATCTCATCCAACGGCCAACGTTGCTTCTCTCTTCTCTCCTTTCATATATTCCCATTTTCCCACTCCCTCTCTTCCCGTCTCTCTCTCTACACCTCTCTCTCCATCCTCGCCAATCCATCCTCAAGGTCTACTTCTTCTCTTGCTTCGCTTCTCTTACGTTATCATTTCGATCCGCTTCAATGCCTCTTAGATCTGTCCCTTGCATTTCTATTCAGCATTTGATCAAGCATGCATCTTTGTTTTTTATGGTTCTAAGTTTTGATGCCTTGCGGGTTGTTACCTGCATTATGATTTAGACTATGTGTGCGACGTTTATTTCTTCTTTCGTGGTCTGATGTTTGTTGTGGATGGTGATTTGATGTTGTGTGTAAGTCTAGGTTATTTTCAATTGAACGATCTAAAATGTGTTTGCGAGGCGGGTGCTTGACTTTTATCAACTTTTAATGGGGTTGATAGGTCGCATTGTTTCTCACTTTCTTTGTATTTCGTTGTTTTCTTGTTAATGGCTTCAATCTGTTATGATTATAGGTAGCTATAAATTCTTTTTGCAACTGAATGTCAAAATAGTTCGATTTGCAATCTCTGGTTCTGGTTTCTGTGTGGAGTTGTATGTACATTTTCCCATTGAAATGTCATCATTGCTCCTTCGTGGTCATTTGTATCTTATAAAACCAAATAAGGCTACATTTATGGTTATTTTATGATATTTTAATCAGAGTCTTGGTGTTGCACCATCATTTGAGATCTTTCTGGCTTTAATGTCAACTTCTAGTTCGAGTGGCTCTGCTTATAGAAATCATAAACATCTTACTAGTTGTGTATTTAGCAGATAGCAGAAGATGGCAGATGCTGAAGACATTCAACCCCTTGTTTGTGATAATGGAACAGGAATGGTCAAGGTATGAAATAGATCTTCTTTTATCTTATTTCCTTTTTTAAATATACCGAGTTACTATCTTTAAATGCCTTTCGCTATGCTTTGGCATGTCTAAAATAACCCATTGCAATGTTCTTCAGGCTGGATTTGCTGGAGATGATGCCCCACGTGCTGTGTTTCCCAGCATTGTAGGCCGTCCTCGTCACACTGGTGTGATGGTTGGCATGGGCCAAAAGGATGCATATGTAGGTGACGAGGCACAATCTAAGAGGGGTATTCTGACTCTCAAGTACCCCATTGAGCACGGAATTGTTAGCAACTGGGATGATATGGAAAAGATTTGGCATCATACATTCTATAATGAGCTTCGTGTTGCCCCAGAAGAGCACCCAGTTCTTTTAACTGAGGCTCCACTCAATCCCAAGGCTAACCGTGAGAAGATGACTCAAATTATGTTTGAGACTTTTAACGCCCCTGCTATGTATGTAGCCATTCAAGCTGTTCTTTCACTGTACGCTAGTGGTCGTACAACTGGTAAGCTGCAGGACATGCTTTGAGCTTTTTGTTGTTGAACTCGACTGAGAGAGTTTTAAGATATTGACTTTTGAGTTGTGACAAATTCCTAAAGTATCTTGAAAGCATATATTATGACATTATATTTAAACATGGGATGGGACTGAAAGTTTTTGTGTTATTCTGCATGATTACACTTAGCTTGATACTTGAAAGAGGATAATGTTCCTCTAGTGCGTTGAGTTGGGACCGTATGAAATAATGAAGAGTTTTACCTTTGTTGGTTCACTATCATATCATGGGCTTTTTTCAAATTTGTCAATTTTCTTTCTGAGGATGACCTAATTTTTTCCCTCTGCAGGTATTGTGTTGGACTCTGGTGATGGTGTCAGCCACACAGTTCCTATCTATGAGGGTTATGCTCTCCCTCATGCCATCCTTCGTCTTGACCTGGCTGGTCGTGACCTCACTGAATACTTGATGAAAATTCTGACAGAACGTGGGTATTCTTTTACCACCTCAGCAGAGCGGGAAATTGTTAGAGATGTGAAGGAAAAGCTAGCTTACATTGCCCTTGACTATGAGCAAGAGCTAGAGACTGCCAAGACCAGCTCTGCTGTGGAGAAGAGCTATGAGTTGCCTGATGGTCAGGTCATCACCATTGGTGCTGAACGTTTCAGATGTCCAGAGGTTTTGTACCAACCATCTTTGATTGGAATGGAAGCAGCAGGCATTCACGAGACAACATACAACTCCATTATGAAGTGTGATGTTGATATCAGGAAAGACCTGTATGGTAACATTGTCCTCTCTGGAGGTTCAACAATGTTCCCAGGCATTGCTGATAGAATGAGCAAGGAGATCTCTGCATTAGCCCCAAGTAGTATGAAGATCAAGGTGGTTGCACCACCTGAGAGAAAGTACAGTGTCTGGATTGGTGGTTCAATTTTGGCATCCCTGAGCACCTTCCAGCAGGTTTGTGCTATTCTTTCCTTCTCTGTTTCTCTTAATGATGTTTTAAGTGTTTCCATTTGATCTCTGATGAGATGCATTGTCTATTGAGAGCAGATGTGGATTGCAAAGGCAGAGTATGATGAATCTGGACCATCAATTGTGCACAGAAAATGTTTCTAAAATGTGAGAATATGGTATGTATCCCAAGGAAGAATTGCAGCTTGCGCCCTATTCATTGTAGTTTTGTTGTCCTTTCATGTTGTCATGCTGGAGTGATGACTGAGAAGGCGGGGATTGTATTGTCACGTTTTCACATTGGTCCAATTCTTTTAGTATTGTATACTTTGACAAGATTTTGACTGTTAATTCTGTGTCTGAATTAGCTTGAATTTTCTAATACACTTGCCTTCCATGTGTTTCCTTTGCATAATTATTGTGAACCCATTTAATTACACATTGCCAGTAAAGGCAATTATCTACCTGGGACATGAGCCACAAGTGTTACGTTGAGGTGATTCTCCCAGGCGCCTAAACTTGTGGCTCTTCTCTGAGTGGTAAAATTAAATTTCTCTTTCACCTTTTTCTGGTTCTTTTACTCCTTGCTTTGACTCCTTACAGCTATGTGCTATTTTACAGTCAATGGTATATGAATAGACCACTGGAATGAGAAATATATCATGCTTTCACTATTGAATTTTTATCTAGAACCCTATGGGCAAAGTTCATATGAAGAGCCTCATTCTAGGATTGATGTCTTGAATTTTATCACTGAACTCTTACCCTTTTCCTACTTCTCCAGAGGCATACGCCTCCTATGTATAACTACGTAAACAGGCAAATCTAGGAAATTCCAGATTCCAGTGAATCCCATCATGCATGCGGCACCAAGGTTCATTTCTTTCAATTGATTTCTCTTACTGGCTTTAGGAGTTTGCTGAACAAATGTGTTAGGCATTTCAATGGTATTCTAAACAGCCCCAAACTGTATATATATCTGGCCACAGCACAGAGAGCATATGCTTGTTTTTGTTGATCTCACTTTCAAACTGTTTTTCTTCATGCTCATGGCCATTGATGTTAATTTCCATCACCAAAATGAATTTCCATAATCTGATCTAATCACCTTGCCATTCACCTATCTTACACGTACAGTTTCAATAGGAATTTTAAAGGATAAAAATTTATCCTTTATATATCTTTGATATGCTCTTTTTGGATCGCACCATGCACGTGACCAATTAATTCACTCTTACTGCTCAAGTGATGAGTGCGTCAACTTCTTTTTCATACAGTTAACTGAGGTAAATACTAAATAATGACCAGGATGGTGAGTAGATTCAGATGTTTGTGTTAATTGGGAGACTTTTTTTTTTGGTCAATTTTTATAATCTCAAGCTTGCTCTAGTTAAGATAGGTCGGCTTCTTTTGTTCTCCTCTGTTTTATGAGTAAATGAATGCGTAGGAAAATTACGGTTTTTGCGGGCCCTTTAGTAGTCTGTTGATAGAGATCAATCTTCTATTATTATTTTTTATAAGATGAATCAGGTATTTATGATTAAATTCCTTTTTTAGAAGTTAGAAATGAAAGAAAGGAATAAAGTTGAATACGACACCAGTCAGTGAAAGTTGGAATTTAATCCGTGCTTCAATATATGTAATTATTAATAATTCAATTAATAAATGTCATTTCTATTAAATATTGGATGAAACTAGAAATGAGAATGTAAATGACTATAGCAGGGCAAAATCATCATTTTGGGAATCAAATGAAAACAAAATTATGGTGCTGTAATTTCAATTACAATTAAAAATTATATATTTAACATTATAATACTATATTGATTAGCACAAGATCTTATATAAATTGATTTCAAGCGAGAAATTTATATTATTTTATTTTAAAAAATTAATCATTTAGTCCTATTGTTTTGAATAGATTATAACTCAATTTATTTTTATATTTTTAACTTGATTATAATTCAATATTTGAACTTAATTTATCATAACTCAGTTATTAAAGCAATTATAAACATTGTCCTTGAGATTCAAGAAATAATTTTAATCTTCATAATTTTATTTTATTTTTAAATATTAAAACTAATATTTTAAATTATTAGAACTATATGAATTAAATGTACCAAATCAAAATTTAAAGATCAATCGAATCAATTATAAAGATTCAGTTGATCAAAATTAAGGGACCAAATTTTGTTTCCTTAATCTGATGACCTTCATTTTGAACCCCAAGGCTATTTCAGCCCAAGTTTTATCCAAACGTAAAACTTGACTTAATTTGATAGTTAACAAGGGTCCTAGGACTCTAATGGCAGCATTAGAACATTTGCTCTCTAACACTCTAGCAATCATCAGATTGCTCATGCTTTTATTTAATCATAACCTTTTTGTCTACACCATAAAACTTTTGATCATGCATTCAATGATTCAAACTACCAATGACTAACTTTCTATGACCAAACATTTGTCTACTAACTTCCACCCCACAATACAAAATCTATATACCATGTTGATACAATTCCTTTAATATTATTTGATGGATCAAAATTGGCCAACATCCTCTCCCAAAGTGCAATTCAGTATATTACAGTCAACATAAAATTTAACAGTATACAAAATGAAACTCATTTTGGGAACTAAATGAGACATTTTGCCCAGCTTGACCATAAAAGGGGGAAAGATCAAAGAAAATACTTTATTTATTGTATTACCTAAATGAAGCATCTCAATACCCCCTTAAGAGTAGAACAAAATGCAAATCTATCATTTAATACTTCACCACTTAGACTCCAGGAATTGGATACTGAGTAGTGAGTGCTTCAACTTTTTCACGAAGGTTTGAAATTCGGTCTTTCAAAGGAAATTCAGGGGATGACAGAAACTGCATGAAGTCTTGGAGCTTTGTTCCCGGGGCCAGTCGTTTGGCTTCAAGTGCTATTTGTATACCCTCATGAATGAAGTCTGCTATTAGAACAAACTCTCTCTCTCCTAGTCCTCTTGTTGTCATTGCCGGCGATCCTATCCGAATGCCTCCAGGAACCAGGGCACTTTTATCACCTGTCATCAAATATAATTAAAAAAAAAAGAGGGAAAAACAGAAAACAGGGCAAAGAATATGACACAAACAGCATGAGTCTCACCAGGCACTGAGTTTTTATTGAGGGTTATAGAGGCCATGTCAAGAATTTTCTCCACCCGAGCACCATCAATGCCCTAGGGGATGTGATGCTGGTTAATGTATGGCATAGATGACAGGAAGTAAATTTTAACTTCATAAACACTATGTGTGTGTGTGTGTGTGTGTAATGCCAAGAAAGGAGTACACAACCCCGATATATATATATATATATATAGACACAACATCATACAACGAAAAGTTTGTAAATTCATAGACCCAATAATGACTTTTTTAAAAGCAAGGATAAGTAAACTTTGGCCCACAACAGCATGTCACAGAATTCACGTTTACCTTGCTTAATAGGAGATAATAGGATTTTTAGAGCAACATTTAAGCTGCCTTAAAGCAACAACATATTAAGGTACTGAAACAACAGGGAGATAAAAAACACAGATATTTTTATTTTGAAATTTGATATAAAACAGCAACATGCTTACAGATGGCCTCAGATCGACAAGAACCAGGTGATTATCACTTCCACCAGAAACCAATTTGTAGCCATGTTCAATCAATCGATTAGCTAGAGCTCTACAGTTAGAGACGACCTGCAACAGTGAAGTTATGAGTGAATCTGTCATGAGATGCCTAGGAACACACTTTTTTCAATGGCGGAAAGAGAAATACCTGGTTTTGATAAACCTTAAATTCTGGGGCTTGGGCATATTTCAAACAAACTGCTAGTCCTCCAATTGTGTGGTTATGAGGACCACCCTAAATAAAGATCATTTTTAGTACTAAAACAAGAACGGTGGAGATATTCACATCAGATTTCATAGTTCATAGGCACAACAGATACTAGACAATATATTCTCCACTGGAATAGTAAAGAGAGACCAAAGCAGAACCAATATCTAACTTACTTGTAGGCCTGGAAAAACAGCATTATTAATGGCAGACTCTAGATCAACACCGTGCACAGAGTCTTTCTTGAAGAATATCATACCACCTCTTGGACCTCTAAGAGACTGGAGAAAAATATTTAATTGTGCCGGGTCATGGGTGTGCAAGCACCAACATAGAGAAGAGTATATAGTTAAATATAAAGTATTTAATAGTTTTTTTTAAAAAAAAAAACAAATTCTGCTCCCTTCTTTGTTGAACTAAAATTAATGCACAACATTCAGCAGGTCTTGAGGAAAACCTTGTGGGTTGTGGTTGTCACAATATCACAGAATTCGAAGGGATCAGCAAGCACACCAGCAGCAACAAGTCCACTGATATGAGCCATATCCATCATAAGAAAAGCACCAACTTCATCTGCAATCTTCCCATGCATAATAAATGTAATTAGTTTTTTACTCAGTAGAAAAAAACACATATCACAAGAGGTATTCAATCACTAATTATATATTCTAGAAAAAACATGTGAACAGGACTTACTTTCCTCATCCGTGGATAGTCAATGTCTCGAGGATAAGCACTAGCACCAGCAATGATGAGTTTTGGTCGGAAGAGGTTAGCAGTTTTCTCGAGCATATCATAATCAATGAGGCCTATTTACAATTTTAAAGTAACTTAATAAGCTTCCTGCAGATCATCAAATATAACACTCATAATTTAATAACAAAAATGTAAGCACCTGTTGATTCATCAAGTCGATAAGGCATAGATTCAAAATAGATTGATGTGCCTGATACACGCCTTTTAGGAGTCATGAATCCATGAGATAAATGTCCCCCATGAGGCAAGTCCAAACCCTGAAAGTTTACTGTTTTACGTGATGAATACTATTTTGGATTAACAGAAGTCACATAAGTCAAAGTTATTTACCATTATTCGATCATGTGGCTTAAGAATTGCAGTGTAAACCTCAAAATTGGCTGGAGAACCGGATAACGGTTGAACATTTACACACCACTTATTCCCATCCAAGTGAAATGCAGCTAATGCTCTCTGTTGGCATAGTATTTCAAGCTCATCAATGTGCTCATTTCCACCATAGTACCTTACATACAAAACAAGACTCTAATCAATGTAACTACATTAGTGAAAGAGGGAGGAAGCATTTAATGAGACATTCATTTACTTAGTGAGGAAAAAATATAAAGGAATAAAATTTACCTTTTGCCAGGCAAACCTTCTGAGTACTTATTTGTGAGGCATGAACCAACTGCTTCCATCACTGCCCTCGATGTAAAATTTTCTGAAGCAATAAGCTCAAGGCTTTTATACTGTCGGTTCTTTTCCTTGCCAACAATAGCATACACCTCAGGATCAGCTTCACTCAAGCCATAATCCAGAAAGCTACTTTGATCACCTGAAAATACAATTTGATCCCATGGACTAGAACATCAGCCTTAGGGGCAAATAATTAATGATTTGCATACCAATGCATATTGGTCTCAAATATTTGGCAGACCAAGTACCTTGAACATGGATCAAGGAATAAACTACTAATTATGGCATCAAAATCTGTAAGCCTTAGATATTTATTTGTTCTTTAAAAGCAAATACTGACCACTGAGCCACGTGAAATCTTTCCAATTAAATAGTATTGTTACCTCCTATTTCAGGCACAGAGACGGAGAGAGTAGATGGCTTTCCACTGACCAAACTTCCTTCAACATAAGATGCCCTACAAGCCTTCACATTATTGAGCTTCACTTGAGGCGTAAATCCATAGCTGTCACACCTATTAGCAGGAAAATTCAGCACCTTGGTGCATGCAAATTGTTGCCCCGAGCCCATCATTGCAACTCTACCACAGACTTGCATCCTCGTTTATGATTTTACAATTAAGAGTCCTGCAGGGTCCATAATACATTGTACAACAAAGTTGAGATGACAACGCCACAACATAGCATGTTATAATTGCAATAGCTTTCTCTCTTACGGACATAAAATATTTTAGACAAACATATTTCCTACTCTCAAGTTACTTCAAGAATTCAGAATTTTTTCATACAGATGTCAGTATCTAAATACAAATGTAAATTCCATGAAATGAAATTCTAAAAAGTTAGAAGAGTTAACTCATCACTATTTCATCCAGAAACAACCAATCTAACTGAAAAGAATAGCAACTATCGATCTAATAATCATTAGTTTGTCCAGAATTCATATAACGACACTAAAAATGACGTTTTCAGAAACGCTAGACAACGATAAAAATAAAATAAAACGAGCAGTTTAACTTGAACGCAACCTAAAATGTTCAACAATGCTCCCTAAAAAAGAATGATAAGAATATACAGACATAAAACTCAATATGCATATCTTTCGCCAAGCAATTATCTAAATTGCCAGTATCAGACCATCATATATATATATATATATAGAATAACAGCAGAGCAAAGATTAATCATTTTGCACTACTCCTTTACCCGTAATAGCGGGGCTGATTAGACTCGTCTAAAGAAAGGCAAGCAACGCTAAGTGAGCTGAGGAGGAAGAAGACGAGAAGAATGGCATCAGAGTCCAAAGGAAAAAAAAGAAAAAACAGAGAGAAGCAAGAAGATGTTTGCTGTCCCAAAAGAAGAGAGGAACTGGTGGGACTCACCCCAGGAAAAGCCAATATGGCGACGACTGGTGCTTGGCAAATTTTCTCACAAACAAAACCCCTGAGCTCGGGCAGCAAAAGAATAGAGGGAGAGAGGGGGGGAGAGAGAGAGAGAGAGGCACAAACCAAGGAAGAAGAGAAGAGATGGGAAACGAGCACAGAGGACGCACACCGAATTGACGACCGTGGCGACGATAACAGCGAAGCGGCGGAGGCAACGTTTTAGACTTCAGGTACGGCGCGCGCACGAGACATGGGGAGAGATTTAGGTTGGTAAATTGGTAATGGACAGTAGCAGTTTGTCTATTCAATTTTTTTTAAAAAAATTAAATTAAAATTAAAAAATAAAAATATAATTATTTTAAATTATATAAATGATAAGTTAGTCTCTCAAAATAATTTTACTGAAATTTTTAAATTCTAGATTAATAAATTTTAAAATAAAAATATTATTTTATTTTTATTAAAAATAATAAACTTCAATCATAATTTTTATTTAAAAAATAATAATTTTTATTTTGTAAGTCAAAACTCATTAAATATAATTTTATTATCAAAAAACTTTTTAAAATAATAAAATTTAATGATAATTTTTACTTAAAAAATAATAATTTTTATTTTATAAATAACAAGTGTTAAATAAAAAAATTAAAATTTATTAAGTATAATTTTTATTATTAAAAATAAGTTTTTAAAATAATAATCTTCAATCACAATTTTATTTAAAAAATAATAAATTTTATTTAAAAATTATAAAAATTAAATAAAAAATTACAATTTGTTTATAAGAATAAAAAAATTTAATTTAAAATTTATTAACACAAAAATTTTAAAAACTTTAATGATATTATGACATTTTAAAAAATTAATTTATTATTTATATGATTTGGAGATTTTATTATATTTTTTCATTAAAATTTGAAGGTAAAATGACAGAGTTACCATACAAGAATTCTAACGATAAAATAATGTCCCGGAATGCAAAAGTAATTCTGAAATCTCGCAAACTCCAATAATTCAATTGTAAAAATGTTTTGAAATGCATTTATCAAAATATCCTCATTTACAAAAAAAAAAAAAAACTCTTTCCTTAATTGCTAGCGCCGGTCACAAGCCGATGCCACTCAGCTGCTTTTTTTTTTTTTTTTTGGGTAACTCTAAAGAGTCTTGATTTTTATTTGGTAGCATTGATTCAAAGTATAAGATACTTTAATATTTTTAGTTTTTTAAATTTGTATTAACTATCAATTTGAATTTAATTTTTATATTTTTTTAAAATTATCATGTGAATCCTTTAAGTTTTAAAATATAAATCGACTCTTAAAATAATCTAATAAAGTATGATAGGGGATGCAAAAGAAAAATCGTATTAGTTAGGAATAAAATCCTAAAACACAAAGCAAACACAAGAAACACAAAGGAAATGAATAAAAATATGGAGGAAGAAGAATAAAAGAAGGAAATAAAGTAGCAAATGAAAGATAGAAATTAAGGAGATCTTCTAAGATACTTGACTCTGGCAATTTTAACCACACCATAAGAGTTAATGAAGTTCTTGATCACATCTATATTCAATGACTCACAAGAGTTATAAACTTTAAAAAATAAAAATAATTTGATTATTCAAATCTTGTTGGGCTTGTTGGACATGCAAGATTCGTTCTCCATCATTCCCTCCCTATTTAAAAAGATTTATTCTCAAATCTCCACCGTCAAAATATTTCTCAACACCACTTGAAAAAGGTAAGTACCTAATGATTCTTGAGGATAATAATTCAATTGATGGCTCCTTAGGATAGGATTCTCGAAAGACCTACAACTTACTAGAAACACAAGGCGAGAAATGATTAGGATGGTTTGTAATCAAATAAAGATCCTTACAATCACTTTCAACCTCACTTTTCTCACAATTCTTTTAATCATTATTTTCTCTATTTTCTCATTACACACTCAACTCAACATTCTCATTTTTATTCTCAATATTTTCAATCCCATTTTGTTCTTTTTCAATATTTCTTTTTCTCAATCTATTTCTCTCACTTTGTGTGCTTTCAAAATTCTAACTTAATCCTCACAAATCTGCATAGGCTTAAGAGGTTTAAATACAATAATTTTCCTATTGAATGCAACAAAGTAACAATGCTTGTGCCAATCCTGCTTGACAATTCTTGAATATTTTCATGGATGGCCTAATAAGATATGAAAGACTTGTATAGGGGTAACATCACATAGAATTTTATCTTCATAAATACCCAATTTTTAAGAAACTAGGACTTGTTTGGACACTATAAACTCACCACCATCCTCACAAAACAATTTATAAGCTTGAGGATGGTCAAAGGTAGGCAAGCCTAATTTCTCAACCATTGAGGTACTTGCAATATTCCAACTTTTATAACCATCCATGATCACATGATAAACTTTCTCTTTGATGAAGCATAAAGTGTGGAACTCATCAACATCATTATTGAATGATATGATAATCAATTTGTCCATACCAAAAGCCAACAAGAATTCATAGAATAAGAGAATAAGAAAGGGAACCTTACCGCACACCTCATATATTTACACTCAAATAGGATAATTAATCACTCTTTTTTTTAATAATAAAATTTCACACTTGCTTTTTACTACTGACTAAACTTATGAATAAAATCCAATGATGAAACAAACAAAAATCAAAGAACTCAAACAATCAAATGAAAATTTTCTAATTAAAATATACTAGAAAATAGGAACAAATTTTTAAAGAGTAATTTTTTTATTTTTGAAATCTCCTTAAAAGAAAAGAAAATTTTCAAATAAAACTAAGCTTAAAAGAAAATGAAGAAGGGCACGAAAAGCAACAAAATAAGGAAAGAAAAATCAAATGAGTCAAATGCTCAAAAGACAAAAATAGAAAACTAAATGAAATAAGAAAGTGAAGTGCTTACTCATAAGTTAAGAGAAGAGTACCTTGTAATGAAAGTCAACAATCAAATTAGAGAAGTTACTAAAAATAGAAAACAAAAGAAAATAAGAAACTAGAAGGAAGATAGGAAATCAAAATGATAGGAATGTACTCAATGGAGACAAAAAAAAGAAAAGGAAAAGTAAGAGGAATAGAAAAGCCTCACCACTCAAGTTTAATAAAATAGGAAACTTTGTGACTTGGGATGGAAGCTCTCAAGTTAGAAAACCTTTCCACTAATCTTGCAAACTTGCAACTTGATTCCTTTTTTTTTAATTTTCAAATTTTTTTCCTTTTTTTTTTGACACACTATTGCTTTTTTCAGCACAATTGCACTCTCTCTCTCTCTCTCTTGCCTTGTTTGCACAATTTTTTAGGCATTTTATTTTTTGGTTTTTGCAATGAGGGGAAAAATTACAAACTTAAAATAAGAAGAAGTAGATGGAAGATGTAGATATAATCACAAAAGATGAAACTAAGGTAAAGAACAATTGCATATGTCCTCCCTCACTTGCAAAAATGACATGTACAGGGATATGAATTGTTATATTTTTTAATTTGCACCCTCTATTTCTTATATTTTGCACCCCATTATTTTAATATTTTAAACTTCAAATCCATTTTAATGTTACTTTTTAGCCTAGATCTGTTCAATTTTTTTAACTTAAAACCTAGTGAATATTATCTCATAATTTCATTATACCTAAATATCAATATTATATATTAATCCTACAGAAAAAACCTAATTTGATTAAAACCATGTCCACATCGTCCTCATCTTGAATAATAGTCAAGAATTAGTTAGAAAAAAAGGCAATGAAGAATGAAGACTCAAGACATTATGAGTAAACTCATTAAATGCCTTTAGCTAGCTCGCTACATTTGTAAGTTCTCAAGTAAAAGTTGAATTAAGAAACAAAGAGAAAGAAAGAAGGAAAGAGAAATAATGGACTCGGAAGAGATAGAAAAATTTTCTTTGTGCTGAGAATTCCAGCTTCACCACTGCCCTCGACCCAGAATCCTGACTCCTATACTAAAACTAGCAACCAGTCTTTGATACCAACTGATTGGGCACGCGAAAGCAAAATCATGCTAGTTAGAAATAAAATCCTAAAACACAAAGAAAATACAAGAAATACAAAGTAAAGGAACAAGATATGGAGGAAGAAGAATCAAGGAAGGAAATGAAGTAGTAAAGGAAAGATAAAGATCAAAGAATCTTAACCTATCTATAAAAATCTTAACTTTCAAAGACACCATAAGAAAGACTTATAAACTTTAAAAAATAAGAATAATCGTATTATTCAAATCAAACTTTGGTTATAATGTAGAAATGCATGCCTACATATAGACAACTCAAGAAGACTCAAAAACCCTAATTCTAACCTTAGTTGGATGAAAATATTATAAAAATAATAATAAAATTTCATCCACGTAATTTAACGATTATATATTCTAAAATCATAAGATTACATTATTAAACAAAATCATAATCTAGAAATAGGAAACAAAACTTAAATAAAATATTAAGCTAATATTTAAATTTTAATCTAATCAATTTAAAGCAATCAAGGGATATGTCATCATTCATACAATCATCCCTGTGATCTTTTTATGTTTTTAGGTCACTGATTGATTGTTAGACTCTTGGTTTTATCTTACCACTTTTGCATTGTGAGCCTCTTGGCTTTGTTGGACTTGTTGGACATGCAAGACTTATATTCTGTCTAAGCATATTCATAATTTGATATGTATGTTGTTAACATCTAGAAGTTCATGTTATTTCATTACATTTTTCTTAGATTCTAATCCATTTTGGTTCAATTGTATATGTTTTTATTGCCCAAATTAGGAAAATGTGCATTTTGTTTTCAGCTTGTGTTCTTAGCTTTAATTTGATACTTTTAGCCTAATTTCATGTTATTTTAATTGAAGTTTTGATTAGAAGCATTTCTGGAGCTTTGTGGATGTTTATGGAAGGCTTTTGGATGAAGAAATCAAGAGCAAAATGAATGATTTTCGTTAGCTGTAAAAACAATGCAAAACTACCAAAGTCGTCCCAAAGTCGTGACTTTCGTTCGCGACTTTCACCGCTGTTAGAAAAACGCTGCGTTTCATTTATCAGAAATTAGTTGGCTAGGACACATATAAGCTGAGAGCTCGACCCAGAACGCATTCTTCAGACTTTTAGACACTTTTGGAGCTTGGTTGTACTAGGGTTTGGGCATTGGAAGAGTTGGGATCAAGAGATTGAAGCTTTGAAGGCATTTGGAGCTCATTTTCTTCGGTTTTTCTATTCCTCTTCCCTTTCCTCTCTTGTAATC